GTTCCTAAAGTTTCCAAAAGCAGAATGGAAGGCAGATCTTTCAGTTCTCAGGCTCCTCTCTTGTGGAACCAGCTTCCAGTTTCTGTCCATGAGGCTGACACCGTGTCTTATTTTAAGATTAGACTTAAGTCTTTCCTTTTTGATAAATCCTATAGCTAGGGTCAGCTTGGGTTTCCTGAGCTATCCCATAGTTATGCTGCTTTAGGCTTAGACTGCTGGAGGACAAATAGGCCACATTTCCTCACTCTGCTGCTGTCTTTATTTGCTCCACTCTACCTGTTTATATTTGTAATTATTTCAATCCTTAACATGTTGTTAACATGTTGTTTTTCTTCCTGTAGACCTGGACCTGTCATTCTGTTTGTTTGTTTGTTTGTTTCTCCTTCCTGTCCTCTCAAACCCAGCCAGTCAAAGCAGATGGCTGCAATATTTATAAGTTATTTGGAGTTATAACTATTTTGAGTTTTCTAAGATTGCCTTGCTGTGGCAGCCATCTTGAATCAGGTTGACTCCAAACATTAATCAGTGGTATTTGTACCGCCAGCGATTACTTTCTGAATTTTCCTTTGAATCCATTCAGCGATTCAAGAGATATTTTGCTAACAGTACAGACAAACAAAACAGACTCCAGCATAAAGCATTATCATTCCATCTTCGCCTTTCAGTGATAAATAGCCGAAATCTGAAGCCAGGAGATGACAGATAAAACGAGGCAGTAATAAAACTGTTAATATGGCAGCCGTAACCGTTTTCTTGATGTGTTACTGTGTGAGCCAGCACACGCTGACATTCTTCTCAAATATGGTCAGCTTGACACCGTCAGAACAAAATTCATTGACTCAGATTGTGTGTTTCATCCAATTTTCCGTCAACCTTCTTGAGACAGAACATCTCCCTGATGATGGTCTTAATCACGCAGCAAGATTTACAACAGCAAGCTACAGTTTATGCAAAAAAAAGTGTAGAAGAGTTTTTTTTATTTTTATTCATTCAACCTTTATTTATACAGGTTAGTCTCAAAGAGCCGCGAGGACTCATTTACAAGAGGGACCTGTTCCAGACAGAACATATAAAGTACAGACAACAATAACAGTAAACAATAACAATAAACTACAGTACAAATAAGAGTATAACACAATAAATCAGGGTGCCATCAAACAGGGGGAAATACTAAAAACAACATATTTGCTTTGATTTTTCTATTGACATTACAAAAGGTCTTGAAACTTGTACTTGTATATGTAAATAAATGCCTAAAAAAACAAACTTTAAAATTTAAAAAAGTAAAAAAAAAAAGAAGTACATATTTAATTTCCTGTCACGCAAAATGATTTTGACAGTCTAGTTACAACTCCTGCAGCCAATATTTGCGTACAGATAGCAACCCAATATGTCGGTTATCTACCGCTGAGGCTAAAATAAGCGCAAGGTTGTTGTTTTTTTTTTCCACGAACTTCGACAGCGAGGGAAGGGGGTCTCGTTGGCTCGGTTCTGTTATTAAAAACTGGACAGCAAGCTGGGGGAGTCTGGGGATGGGAGGGTTGGGACCAAAGCAGTGGCCAAAACACCTATTAATATACTGATAGCTTCCTGGCAAGAGCAGCTTGTTCCAGTAAAAGACACACAGAGAGAGAGAGCGGAGGTGGGGGGCATAAAAGTTTCCCACGAGTATATGCAGAGTCAGACTCCAGAGATCATGAAACATTGAGAGGTATTCAAAAGTCAAGCTTGTCTCAGATTCGCGTCTCGAATGTGAGCATTCCAGTTTCAAATGGCAGAAGATTTAAAGCACACAAAGCTAAATAACAAACAACTCTTTCTCTGATGTAAACAGTTCATTTGCAAGTTTAAAGCCACTGAAATACATTTAGAAAGTCTTACGTGGAGTATTAAGCGGTGCATTTAAGGATTTGGCTTGTATGTGCTTGAACACAGCAGGTAACGTGAAATCGCTCAAGAAAAGAAAAGTCCTCCCAGTCTGGAAGGAGCTGTATGGTGATTGCTAATGTGCACGTAGACGCAAATGAAAATGATCTAGGACAAATGCAAATACTAAGAAAAAAACGACAACGCATTAGCATGTCAGGTCTACAGAAAACAACTTTGATTGCGCTTGTGTGCATTTGAAAACAATATTATAACAGAACTTAAATGATCCAACACAAAAAGGTCTTGTTTAGTTCAATCCAAGAAAACTGAGACAACTTTTACCCACTTGTTTTCCTGTTTTTTTGTTTTTCCATGTTACATGCAGTTCTACTATTTCTGCATACTTTGTGATGTTTTAACCGTTCGTACATTAAAACGTTCAGCTCGTTTAAAAGATGGCTGCTCTGCCTTGTGTTTGTTGTGATGTTTATAGTGTTCAAAATATTTAACTTTAATTACAAATATTTTCCCTGTGAAAATACAGAGATCGCTTCAGTTGCTTCATAAACTTTGTTCTTTTTAAAAATCTGCTTTAATGCACTGGCTTAAATTGTGTCCGCTTATGCTGCTTTTAGTTTTTAGCTTCTGTTATGCTACTTTTAGCTTTTAGCCAGACATCTGAAACTTTTAGCTTTCAGCTACCATTGTACTATTTTTCTCTCTTAGCTAGCCTTTAGCTGCTTTTATATGCCTTTTGCTAATTTAGCTTTTCACTACTGTAGTCCCTCCTTTATCACGGGGACTTGGGACCACGCCCCCATGATAAATGAAAGTCAACAATGTAGGGATACAGTAGTCCAAGTTCAAGTTCAAGTAAACATTATTGTCATTATCATCTCATGTGGTACATGAGATGGAACAAAATTATGTACACAAGTAGTTGTAGTAGTAAGTAGTGTTGCATTCGGGCACCAAAAAATCTGACCCGACCCAGCCCCAGCTCGTAGCCATCATTTCTGAACCCCACCCGACCTGACGAATTAACAGTAATTACAGGTCCGAACGCGAAAAACCCCTGACATTTTTAATTAAGTTTTGACTGTTTATATAGTTATTAACAGTTGGCAGACACATGCGGCTGAGTAAAGGGGGCAGAAGATCGGAGCTGAGGGTTTTTTTGTCCTTTCATGGCCATCAAAGTACATTAAATCCCTGCTTCTGCCTACATTCTGCATTATTCAGACATGGACCCTGCTTTGACATGTTGGATATTTTGCGATCTCACCTGTTTGAGTCGTCCAGCAGCTGACTGAACGTCCATTTGGGCTGATAGATTGCTGGCAGTAGTCCAGCTAAAGCTTAATTGAACTTTTTACCTCTTTCAAGGCCGGTCAGCGCACGGTCAAATGGCCGCATGCGGCTGGTGATTGTATGGCAAACCATGTTACCATATAATTGGATAGTCAGCCACGTGCGTAAGCTGATGCAATCAAAAGCCAGACACCGACCCGGCCCACACATTAAGCACATTATTATGGCCTGGCCCTTATCCGGGTCAAGCAGGGCCGAGCTCTGGGTTCGGGTTAGAAATGACAACTCTAGTAGTAAGTAGTAGCTAATTTTAGTATTTAATGTAGTAGTAAGTAGTAATTTATCTTAGTATTTACGTACAGGTATATTAAGACGTTTTAAAACTTTCCCACACTCTTGCAATGTCCCTAACAATTTTCTAAACTCTAAATGCCTAAAATGTCATGATATGAGCTCTCTGCCTCCAGCTGCTCTCTGCCATCTGCCAGCACGCTCGGCCACGCCCACTTCTCCGCTGCAGAATGGAGATCTGACATGCTGCATAAAAAAGCTTTTCCTGCAGCGATGGGCTGCACACAGGTGCAGCAGGTGCTGAATCATTTTAAATCATTTATTTTATATAAAAATTCTATGCCGATCGTGCGGCTCATCCATCAATCAGCCAATTGTGTGTCATGTCCAATCTTACTTTGAAAAACTGCGATAGAGCGAGTCCGCGAAAAACGAACCGCGAAGTAATGAGGGACTACTGTACTGTTTTGTTACTTTTAGCTTTTGCTACTTTTCGCTTTTAGTTTCCTACAGTTTTATTTACACTTATGCAGATTATAGCTTGCCGTTTGTCACTTTTAGCTTCTAGATGTTTTTTTTTTGTTCTTCCTTCTTGCTAACCTTTTGCTACTTTCAGTATTTAACTATCATCTTGCTATTCTTGTTTTTTCATGGTGGTTTCCTTTTCTTGGTGTTTGACTTGCATTCTGCTTATTTTAGTTAATGTTCTGCATTTTTGAGCTTTAACAATTCAGCTATTTGTTTTAAGCACACTTCAGCAGTTATTAAGAACTCAGCATCAACCTGCATTTCTCTAGTTGTTCATCAAAAAGCACAGGTGCACATTTGGCATCGTCAGCTGTTTTTTTTTTTTTAATTGTTGCACCATTTTAGATTGGTCCTCAAAAGCTCCTGCAGCAGAAGTTGAGTATTTACCTCTGAGTGTAACAAATGAAATAAAGCATCTCCAACGTACATTAAATCACAGCCATCTTCACTATCAAATGTCACTTCCATCACGCCTTCTTACTCTGAGCTCACTGATGCTGACACAGGACATCCTTCATCAGCCATATTTAACATTAATGGAGATTATCACAGAGATGCTACTCTGTTCTAACCCTACACTACTTAGAAATGCAATAATAGAAGCAGGCAGAAGCCCAGCTGTGGGTGACGGGTGTAACCTTTTCCCAACCTATATGTCTTGTAGCTGATATATAGAAAATAAAAACACAAGGAAAAAACAATTAAAACCCTGTAAGCTATTTGAGTGAAATAATCAAAGAAAACCAATATTTATATAGTAGTACAAACAATCCTATAATGGTTCTAATAAGGAAATATAAGTTGTATTTTTACTAGCTTATTTACAGTTTGACAGTTTTAATTGTGATTTTTTTTTCCCTTCACATAAATAAAGGATTACAACCTCAGATTTTTATATGGGTACAATTTTTACAAGATTGCTGTATTATCAAGTGAAGAGGCACCAACTGCAATAAGTTAAACTTGAACTGTTCCATCAGGAGCTGAGATTATGGACTTACCTTTTTATTTGAGAGAAATGTCAAACTGTTGTTTCCTCCAAATACCACAACGCTTGCATGGTCCGGGCAGAGAAGCGTCTCATGCTGCCTCCCTATAGACACTGACCAAGCCCATCCACTCAGACACTGCAGTCAAAGCCGTGCAACTAATGCACATTTCCGGCAAGCACTTTCAAAATAAAACATATAGGCCTTGAACAGGATTTTCCATTTAATTTGGTCGTTTTATAAGCACTTGGGGGTGCTATTAACAGTTATTTTTCTAACATTGAGACGTTTATCTCAGTTGTTTTTACAAACGTTATTTATTATATGTTTTAAAACACACATTTAAGGTGTATTTACAATAAGCTTTATCCGTATTATTCATACTTTTATATATTTTTTTATTAAATTGTGATGTCCTTTAGCCACAATTATAATAAACAACACCATCTACTGGCTGCAGTTGTCCCACAATTTGGCCAATTTGATAATTTAAGGATTACTGTGTATTATTTACAGACAAGAGTAAAAAAGATGAATATATAAATACATAAATATAAATAAATATATAGATAAATCCTATAATTAGGGTTGGCTTCTTATGCTGACTTAGGCCAAGACTGTTAGAGGACAAATTTACCTCATTTCCTTAAAGGATTTGATAAAATTGAATAGTTTTCATTAGATACTATTTCTATCTTAACATGTGATTCTCAACCTGCCATTGTGTATCTGTTCTTCTCAAACCCAGCTGGTCGTGGCAGATGGCCGCTTGTCCTGAACCTAAACCTTGCTAAAGATTTCTTCCTCATGAGGGAGTTTTTTCTTTCCACTGTCGCCTTCGTGCTTGCTCAAGATGGGAGTTCTGCGATGGAGTTCAATTTAAAGTAGTGATAAATAGTGTTAACTTATTATTTTTATTTATGACTGTTTCTGTTCAGTGCCCTGAGACCACTTCTGTTGTGACTTGGCGCTATATTAATAAACTGAATTGAATTGAGTAAATTTTTTTGCTGCCCATCAAGTATGCGTTGTTGAGTTTTATTCAAAACTATTTAAACTACCCCCTACCTAGTTTTCTTCACAGGATGCATAGTTCAATGGTTAGTGAAACAATAAAACATTTTGCAGTGACATTGTTATACGTGTTAAAAAAAATTTTCATTCTCAACCTTTATTTAACTTTGAACCTTATTTGTCTTTGTGATAATAAAGTTAAATGTGTCAGAGAATAAACACATAAATATAAAAACAAACACACGATAATATTTTCTTTCTGATCAAATACGACGGTGTAATTGTATAGACCCAGTCCACGTAAACGCATCAGCGTGTTTACTACACGTCCATTGGTCAATCCTGACTCCATTCCCGTCCAATCACAGCGCGAATCCAGAATAGCATGCGCCCCACCTTGTTTCGGTCACGTGACTGGGTTTACGAAGATGGTGGAAGTTTCTTCTTCCTTGAAGTGAAATCCGGGCTGAAGTCAAAACATCACGCAGGCCGAGGGCTGGGAAGATATAACAGCGTTTCTGGATAAATTCGTCAACCTCCTTTCGGATCTGGGTAAGTTTTAACCCGATAACGGCGTATTTCAGTGCAACGTTTGGTTTTATTGCCGTCGGACTTTCAGCCTGCCATGATGATACAGGCCAGCAGTTAGCCGGGGTGAGATGGCAGCAGGTTGTCAGACCAGACCGGTTGACGTTCAACACGTACTTAGCAACTCCAGCAATTACACCGTTCCCCGCAAATATAGCTGCCATTTGGGACTGTGACGGTTCTTATTCTACCTGGACGTGCTGTCCCCGCTGCTCGGCTAACTTAGTTAGCCCATTATACATTCACAGTTGGTCCAAATTATGTAACGTTTGTTCATTTAACGCATCAGAAAAGGGATGCCGGAAAGAAATGTGGCCGATGTCATATCAGAGACTTTTGTATATTTCATAAATCGCTTTGACACGTATAGAATAAGTGAACCTAAATTCCTGATGGCGATTATTCCCGTCAAGGAACTAGCTAAAAGGAGAATTTTGATGACTAAGTACTAGTGTTACGGAAACCCGACCGCACCTGCCATGTCATATTTAAACTTATAGGTCGTTATTCTTCCCTTTGTTCTCTTTAGGCCTTTTAAAACTTCAGCTATGTCATGACTAAAGTCAAATATTTAGGGTTTTTTTCTGAGCTGTGCTCATTAAACATTATTAACATAAGTATAAGCCCTATATGGATCGCATAAATCGTAGCAGGGAAGCCTTTGTGCGCACAATTGATATTAAATGATTCATCATGTGTATGCATAAAGCAGCCAACAAATGGAATTTAAAAAATGTAGCAATCTGCTTAGAATAAAATGTATTTTGCTTCTCCAAAAGCATTCTGTTGGAAGGGTTTTCTTCTTGAAGCAACATACTATAAGAACCTGTTTGTCTCTTTCTGATACTGATCACCAGGAGGTATGTTTTGTTCATATACAGCATTAGTCATAGTGACTTCCAGAAGATGTTACCTGCAAACATGTAGTCTTACGTTTGTTCTCTAGTATATCCTAATTTAGTTAATAGTCAAAGCAAATATACAAGATCATGTTATTAGATTTCTGTGATATACAAACAAAATAGTGTTTTGCACGTCAATCTTTATCAAAACTAATATGCATCTATTGTAAATCAAGGGTCAAGGAGACTTTATTGTCATTTGCATCACATGTGGTACATGAGGTGGAATGAAATTGTGCTCGCAAGGTCCCAGTTACACCCCAAAAAACAATATATATAAAGTATAAATACAAATAAACTGTATCCAAGATGTACACTATCAATAATAATATGAATAAGTTGTAGTAAACACAATGAATAAATGTAAAATGATAAATAATACAATAAAGTTTGGTAAGCTATAAGATGAAACAAAACAGAAAAGCAAGTTCACAGCATGAGGCTTAAAGTTTATTAACCAAATCAATAATAAGATGCAAACTGAGCAGTTCACGTGATTTTGATTTGAATGGAAAGCTGTTCAGGAGCCACGTTGGTTTTGTTTCAATACTTCTGTTTTCTTGGCAGCATTAGTGTGTGAATAGTTCTGAGTCGATGATCCTTCTGATTTATTGTGCTCTGGTAGTGCAGCACTGAGGGCACAAATCATGGGTAGATGACGGTGAGACACCAGTGACTTCCTTTGCAGTTCTTCGTGTTGTTCACAGATTTTTCTTTGTTTTCAAACCAGACAAGATTCATGAACACTTCCAAGCAGGCCTGAGGCACATTATTCTCACCGGAATTAAATATTTTAAGCAGAGTGGGAAGTCTTTTGATTTATGTTGTGACCCAGAGCTGTAAAATATGGTCATAACTTGAGTTGGTAACCACCGTTTTTTAGTCAGTGGAGAAAGAAAAGACATTGTTGGGCCCTTTCATCAGCAGTTATGGTGTTGTCACCGGAGGTTGGTTCGTCTGTCAGACTAACCTGACTAATGTTTTAATTTAATGTGTTCAGCTGCTGACTCCAAAAGAACGGCAACCAGGACGTGTGTCTCCAGCCACCTTTGGTTGAAATATTCAAACATGCTAATCTAATTAAATAAAGGCATACAGAGAACACGCATATCCCCCACAAACATGCTTTGTTTTATCTATGACTACAGCGTTTATCTTTTGCTGCTGTTCCTCTCCACCTTAAAAGCAGCCATGGTCACTTGAAGATTTCCTTTATCTTTGTGAGCTCTGCAGCAGGCTGTCGGCTACTCTCCCTCACTCCTAAATGCTGACTCATCTTCGTTGGTGACAAGGGTTACAGTTGTGTTTTTCTTGGCCAACTTAATGATGATGTTTTGTGCTGAATGCAGCAGAGGGGTCATGTGTCAGCAGTGTAAACAATAAAAGGCTCAGCACACATCCTCGTAGTGCTCCTTTGCTGATTGTGGTGCTTCTAATTGTAGTTCTGCCGTCTTGGACTGTTTGCTGCCTCTCCATAACATGCCCAACATCAACAGCTTTTTGGATGGATATTTATTTTATTGATCTTTTGCAATTTTATTTAACTTATTTTCTATAAGATGGCAGAATTGTGTGAAATGCAGAGTATAACTCTATTTGCAGATTCCTGTTTTTATTTCCTGTTCAGGATAGTTCAGTGTGAGATGGATTTCTTGGCACATAAACTGAAGGAAACTAGATTGACCTGGACACATAACTTGGTGAAGGGTAATGGAAAAAAAAATGCTTAAAGAATTTCAACACTATAGATTAGGGGTGGGTGATATGGCTCAAAAATAGTATTGTGATATTTCAGAGCATTCTGATGATAACGATAAATTTCGTGATATATAAAAAAAAACAACAGATCATATTCATTTGACAAAATTAACATGTTGCTTTGCAGTATTATATTAAAAACAAAAAAATACAACAAAGGTTCATTGTACTGAAATTACTTTATTTAGTAAAGTATTCAGTCTCAAAGTATAAAAATAAAAAAATTAAAATGATCCTTCTGTTATTTAAATTGAAAAAGTCCACACAAAATATAGATCAACAAAATCCACCACGAAAACTGAAGCGCAGGTGCACCAAAATAACTAAATAAAATGAAAGCTCAAGATCTGTTGAGCATAAATGTAACATACAATAAAATCTATGTTGCCTTTAAATGAGCTATAACTTCCAAAACTTGTGACAAGGTGATCAGCTGACCCTGAAGCTTGTTGGTGTTTCAGCTTCCTCTGTTCCTGCAGGAGTGAATCCATTTCTCTGATGCTCTGTCTTTGATTACCTGCCTCTTTTCTTGGCCCCTGTACCGGTACTGTGGAACTCAAGAGACACAGCTGAGCTGCATCGCGCATGTTTGTACCGGCAGTTTAGAGCGGGGTGGAGAAACACAGCCGAGCCACACGTTGTGTTTTTAGCTTTTTAGCTAGCTAGTATTGCATTCAACTAATTAGCGTTACGCCAGTACTGACAGGTGTGTGCGTGTGTGTGTGTGCGTGTGTGTGTGTGGGGGGGTTGTTTGCACAGTTCGGTTTGGTAGTTCGGCGCACTCGGTTCTGTTAACGGGGCAGGGCACCCGCTTGTATAATGGTAGAGGAAATAAGCATATCATGATATAATTTATTTTCCCGGGCAAACTTTTTTTAACTGGTATTAGTGAACGATATGATATGGCCCAGCCCTACTATAGATGTTGAGTCTAAATGCTTCTCGTCACAGGTACACAGGAACCATGTTATCAGGGCCAGTAGGTTTTTGGGGGTTCATGTAGGCTGTCTGCAGCCAGCTGAAGAAATGGTAGAAATTCATTCAACCTTTATTTATACAGGTTAGTCCCATTGAGCCTCGGGGACTCATTTACAAGAGACCTGAATTTTAACAAAGAGTGATGACGACAATAGGCAATCATAAAAGATGTGTATAAATTTAAATTTGGTTGTGTGCACATTTAAAATGGTTGTTATCAACATATTGCTCTGTGGGTTTATGTGTTGTGACCGTGTGAAATTCTTTCTGTAAGTGCCATGTGTTTCTGCTATCAGTGAAGTCTGCACATCAGAACGTCTTAACTACAGTAGTTCCTGGATTATTGTGGGGGTTACGTTCCAGACACCACTGCGATAGGTGAAAAACCACGAAATGGGAACGCTATATTTATTTTAGTATTTATATATATATTTTAAGGCTTTATAAACCCTTCCCACACTTTTGCAATTTTGTAAACTCTTAAACCTACATAATTTTAACAACATACGTATATGTACTGCAACATTTTATATGGGTACTCACCAGTGAAGGTAGTACAGCTTGAAGGATGAGTTCAGCTTCAGGATTATTTGCTACTTTCCTGCCAGTTCTGTGAGTTTAATAGATTGTTACTTCTGACTTTGCATTGCAAAACTATTTTTAACCACATCAGTTTCTCCACTTGTGTTTACTCCCGCCATCGCTGTTCTTTGAATTTCGGCAGAAAGCAGTGGCTGGAAGCACTGTTGGCTTCTGGGCCATGTAGTTCTTTTGACTTGTCACAGTACATGCTTGGTGAAAGAAAACTACAAAATAGCAGCACCTGTTCGAAGTACATTTGGTTCAGTTTCTCCACTAGTGTTTGCTCCCTCCATCACTGTTCTTTGAATTTCATCAGAAAGCAGAGGCTGGAAGCACTGTTGGCTTCTGGGCCATGTAGTTCTTTTGAAAGAAAACTACAAAATGGCTGCGCCTGTCTGACATTTTTTTTCTGCTCCTACTAACTTTTTATCTCGTACCGTCCCAATCACATGAGCAATATTAAAGTTGACAAAGGTGTTGTGTACAATCTTACGTTGAAAACCCACAAAAGAGTGAGTCCGCAAATGTCGAACTGCAAAGTATTGAGGGACTACTTAGATGAAGGAGCAATTTCAATAAAAATTCAAACCGAGATACTTGACTGATGCTTCTTTAGCAAAGTCATATAAATAAATCCAAGTCGGAAAAGGTCATTGGATTTTGATATTCAACAAACATCCTCATCTGCAAAAGGTTTGGCCTGCATGTGGAGCTGCAGTGTCAGCTGCTGCAATGAATTATTGACCAAGATCAAAGCCACACAGTCGGTCTGAAAGTTTACCCAGGAGCTCCTCACTTTCTCCTGCTCAGCCGTGTGCATTCTCAGCATGAGGAACATGCATTATTCAGAGGCTTGTTGAGGTAACGAACCAGATTCAAGGAGAGATCACAGTGCCAGTGTGTCCTTATTAGCCTTTAGGTGCCACGTTTGTTTTAAGAAAACCAGTGTTGTTTTGTATGTGATAGAAAAAATTTACCAATATATGTATATGTCAGTTTCTTATTGTGCTAATCTTTGCATGTACCAAGTCCTACTATTTTCTCTTTACTTTCCTTCACCTTTGGACCATTAATACAGTTGCATACTCTTCAGTTAGATGTCAAAACATGATGCGTCTACCAGCTGGAAATCCTTCTTTAGCTGGCTCAGCTTGGAACGTATAAATAATTGTTTTATTGTGTCGAGGTTGGAGAGGTGTTGCTCAAGCTGTAGAAGATACTCTGGGTTGGATGTGAAGGGTGACGCGCATTTAGATGTAAGGACGACGTCTCCTTCAATCTGGGACTCCTGTGAGATTATTTCTGAGGGTTTTTTCTAACAGTATGTTTCACAGCTGAAGAGGTGATTAAACATTAAGTCTCCTATCTGCTGGCTCCTTAGATAAATAACGTTATTAATTGACTTTTCATGTATGTGAATGTTTCTGTTCAGTGCCCTGAGATAACTTCTGTTGTGACATGGCGCTATATCAATAAACTGAATTGAATTAATATCGCTGTCATTATATTTATAACATTACAATTTATCTACCTAAAAGTTCAAAATCTATTTAATTATGAGAAGTTTTAATAAATACAGAGTACATGGAAAGCAGAAGCTTATTTTAAATGATAGACACAACACAACATATAGCTTGGGCATGTTTATTTGTGATTAACAGTATACATCAGTGTGCATGATGGACCTTCAGGTTTTTGCAGCTCCTTTATATTCAAATGGTTCTCAGACACAATCTTTTAGGGCTGAATGGGCTAGAACTCAAGGCCCGGGGGCCAAATGTGGCCCTTGTTGACATCTTATCTGGCCCCCCAATATGTTATTTTAAATGTAAAATACTTCTATCACTTTAATTGTTTTCATTAGTCTTTGATTATGATGTCAAAAGTGCAACAGAGACCATCAAATGAGACCAATCAAACTCTTGTTGAGGAACCTGCAACCAAGAAAACATGTTGGGTTTTTGATTTGAGTTAATGTAGATTCTGACATTAGCCCTTAGTTTGAGAAAGGTTTTAATTTTGGCCCACTTTTGTAAGTGGATTTGGCACCCCTGAGCTAGAATAAAGGTGTAGTGTGGCTTAAATATGCAGCGTTTCAGACTGTGCGCCTGGTTTTTGTCCCATGTTGATGCCCTTTTGTTACATCCAATAATAGTTCAACTTCTGTACATTTCACACAAATGACCTTATGAATAACTCTGTCATTCTTGATTTAATTTATATCCTGTGGTGCTACATACAGTTTAGATTTGAAAAGAAACTGAAAATTTTTGTTTAGTTCAAATATAGAATCTCCATTTGCAGACAAGTTCAAAACTAAGAACAAGCAAAAATAAAAATATTATTTTTTTTGTTTTATTTTTTATAACTGAATGCATGGCTCATGGGGTACAGTTGAGATACAGTGAGCCAGTTGTGACCTGATTAGACTGAATTCACTGTCTTTTAGTTGTTTTTCTTGTGAGGACATGTTGAGAACGACAGCTTATAGGACTCTCCTACATGGCAGACACATACAAATGTCAATTTGAAATGTCCATTAGAAGTAATTTGGAGCCCATTTTCATGCCGTAAATAAAAAGAGTAGATACTTCAGGTATGTTAAGGTTATTAATCAAAATTTTATATTTTTCAGGTCTTTCATATTTGTTCAGCAATGCAACAGTAGGAAACATTTGTCACTGCAGAGCTTGTTTCTGTTTGCTGCAGGTCTTCCCAGCCCTATGTCATGGCTACTGGAGTCACCAAGTCAAACACTTCCAATGGTTACCCTTTGAAGGCACAGCTACAAATCCTTGGTAAGTCCTGTTTTATTAACGGGAACACAAGATTAAAAAAACAACAACATTATAATCAAATTTCTCATTTTAGGACATTTTATTCAGTTAAAATTAGAAGGGGAAAAAAGAACAAGTGTGAAAGATAAAACAAGAAACATTTAACAGATTTAAGGGCTGTCCTCATCATCGACATGCAGACGTGCCTTCTCTCATTGTAGGAATTTGACACTGTTATGGTGTTATATGACCTTCGTTAAGCATGAAATTACTAAACAAAGCTAAACGTATCAGGAAACATGAATACTGTATTTGAACTTTTCGTAGCAAAGGAAGAATTTGATCAGCAAGAGTCGATACCTGAAAACAACGTCTGAGGCGCTTTTTTTTTCTTTCTCGTCAGTAAGGACAAAGTCCAGTTTGTTTATGTGGAGTGGGACAGGACTCAAAAGTTATGCTGGGAACCAGCGTATGGGAGCGCTGTTTCCCTTCTCGCTTCAACTTCCAAGAACCCACTTTGGGTCCAGTATTATAATTTATGTTGATGGTCCACAGTTTTTGTGAATGCGCAGAAGATTTTTATTGTTTTAGCCTTCATCCAACAATGTTTTTGAAACCACAAAACTATAGTTATTTTTTTAGGGAAACCCTCCATGTTTGAGGTTTTGTGTAGACTTATGTACACGCTTCATGTCTTTTCTGTTTTTCTGTTTTTTTTTTAATTTTGCTGGACTACCTACTGTAAGGTTTTGGGTTTGTTGGTGGTTTTTCTGTGTGGTCTAAATATTATGTTTGAGTATAGTTTTATAAACAAATTGTTTAGGACAACGTGTATTTCTGTATACACAAAGCCTTCGTTGTAGGAATAATTTAAATTTAGTTGTTGTTTTGGAACATGAGGACAGCATCTCATAAGTCTAAAAGTTACTTAAAACAGCCTGACATTCCCAACTACTCATATAGTCCAGTTGCCTTCTTTTCAAATGATTTAGATTATTAGAATTATTAAGAATTTATTGTCTTTTTCACAGCGGATTAACGTCTCATAGATTCGTTTGTTATGAGGCTCATTCTTTCCGTTTCAGTGCTAACAGCTAAACTGAAAGAAAACAAGAAGAACTGGTTCGGCCCCAGTCCTTACGTCGAAGTGACAGTCGATGGCCAGTCCAAGAAAACTGAGAAATGCAGCAACACCCACAGCCCCAAATGGAAGCATCCACTCACTGTGTAAGTCTAAATAATGCAGGGAACGCAAGACTCCTATGACTCTAAATCTCATAATCAGGACTCCATTGTCAGCACTTTGAAAGTGATGGTACTGCAGCAAGACCTGTGATTTTTATTACAAGAGCCATAATTTAACATGCTGTTGTTCATATTTGCAGTACTCTGAATTTGGTTGAACATTCTGGGAAACATTTAGTGCATTGGTTTCTTTCAGCTATGAGAAGCAGCACACCATACTTCAACTATTACTCACCTTGAGTTCTTAAATGTTACCGTTCTGGTGTTTCAGGGAGCTCAAAACGAGTTGAAGGGATCAACAAAAAAGGTTGAATCATGTCATCTGGACTTCGTTTTTTGTTAA